AGCATGATCAATTGTTTTTACTTATCTTTATATATATATATATATCGATTTTAAAGACAAAAACAATGATAAATTTATGTTCTATCCATAAACATAGTTTTCGAATCGCTGATAGATATGCTTATTATCTTCCTCCCTTGAGTCATGTTAGACTTACATCACAGACTGAAACATCGTCTACTCTTACATTCTAGACAGATGCAGTCTGTAAAACCTTTAAATATAGAACTCAAAAAACCCCCCAAAAAAATTATAGATGTCTTTAGAACCATTTTAAATATTTTTCTTAAAGAAATTATTGTTTATGAAATATTTCAACAATACCCACCTGCTCTTATAGTTAATCATATATTTTGAGTTTTAAATAAATCACGACAATGATTATTTTTTAAAAGTTTATGCGTGAGTGAGTAAGTTTTTGTGAACATGCCATATGTTATGGATAAACTTTCAAAACAGCTTAGGCTTAGTAAATTTTCCAAATCGATTGGTCAACATCTCTTTGAGAAAATTAATCGAACTTATTATGTGGACCCAATACGATGTTCAACAAAAGAGTAAGTCTGTGGTCAATATTACCATTTACAGTAAAGCTTAAAGTGCCTTATCGTAAAAAAAAAAAGGGAAAAAGGAAGTCTAGCATTTATAATTAAAATTGCTTCTCATTTTCAAGCTAAAAATATAAACAGTGTGATTAGTTCATGTGAGACGAAAAAAACAAAAGAAAAGTTTTTTGCTGTACAATTTTTGAGACTAGAAACAATAGGTAGACACAAATAAAACAATACATAATAATGATTTTGCCATTTTTACACCTCCGGATTTTGAAGTTGTTTGAGCCTTATGATTTTACAATTGCAATAAACATAAGTTTTATTGTCTGTCGCGGGTTCGAATCTCCGTCACACCGAACATGCTCGCCCTTTCAGCTGTGGGGGCGTTATAATGTGACGGTTGCCTTCCCTCTAGTCTTACATTGCTAAATTAGGGACGGCTAGCGCAAATAGCCCTCGTGTAGCTTTATGCGAAATTCAAAAACAACATTTGATTGACTGTAATATATACATTTTTCTAAATACATTTGCTATCTTTTGCTCTTTATTAAAAGTTTCTAGTTTTGTTCTTGCGTTAGGTCATACTTGTTTTTTCGTGGATACTAGCTGGTTGTTGCTATTTGACTGAGATATATTAACTATTCCAACACTTTTTTTTTGGCTAACATCTTTATACTATTTTTAACATATTTAATGTTAACTGCTTTTGCAGTTATTAATTATTTGTTGTATAGCTTTTAAATTCCTTTCTCTTTATTACCATACGTGTCTGGTATGGTCTGGTGGTTAGGGCTCCCAACTCCTAATCTATGGATCGCGGGTTCGAATCCCATCACCAAACATGCTCGGTCTTTCAATTGTAAGGGCGTTACAACGTGATGGTTAATTCTACTTTTTGTTGACAGCGGGTGTGTTGACTAGCTGTCTTTCTTCTAATCTATCGCTTTTAAATTAAGGACGGTTAGCGCAGATAGCCCTTGAGTAGTTTTGAGCAAAATAGATCACACAAAATTATTACCATACGATTTATTTTTGTGAAATTGTTAAGACACGTGTTTAAATTGTATTCACTGTCTTTGTTTGTTTGTTTTAAAGCACAAATCTATGTGTGCTCTGTCCATTGCGGGTATTAAAACCCGATTTTTTAGCGTCATAGGCCTAGAGATTTACCGCTGAGCTAACGGGGGGGGGGGGTTATTTCACTTTTAACTAGCTGAGATCGTCAGGATTCAAATCTACCGTTGTAATTTCGAAAATCTGTAATTCTTTACGATTTTCTTTCCTTTAAAACATTGTCATACATATATTTTATCTTAATAATTCATAGTATATAACTGTAGGTATTGTTTATATATTTTCTGATTATTCATAATTATTTCTCCATAAGAAACTTATTTTTACATGCCCTCCAGTTGTTCAGCAGTAAGTGAGCTTATAATGTTAAGAATAGGGTTTTGATACCCGCGGAGAGAAGAGCACAGGTAGTCTATTGAGAACTTTTGTGCTTTACAACAAATTATTTTTATTCCATGGTACTGCCCCCCCCCCAGTGGCACAGCGGTATGTTTGCGGACTTACAACGCTAGAATCCGGGTTTCAATACCCGTGGTGGAGAGAGCACAGATATCTCATTGTGTAGCTTTGTGCTTAATTACAAACAAACAAAAACCATGGCACTGCTTTCGTAATGTCATCGGTTTATGTTAGATCGCATACGGCAAATGACAGTCTATTTATGTATTTATTTTATTTATTTATTTAATAGCAATATATGTACATTATTAAAATCAAAAGTGGAAAATTTAACGTATAAAGGGTAAATCACTGTATAATCTAATCATTACATTACCAAAACTTACGTATTCTACATGAACACGGGCTTCTACTTTTCGTACGCGATCTAACATTGACAGTTATTAATCTATGATGCAGGTGACAAGTTAACATGATGGATGTCATAGTTTGTATTTTTTAAGAATTTTAGCAGGTCTCCCAGTCAGGAAAATATTAATATTCTTTACTTCTCTTTTAACATTTTTTTACATTTTCTTTTTTTTTTTGGCCTGCTGTTGTGAAGTCATAACCACCATAAATACATCCCCCATAAAAATGTTTTTTTAAGAAATAGTGTCTTAAATGGTTTTTTAGGGGTGGAATATCAGCTACTGAATATAAATACACCAATTTTAAAGCTTTACGTCCCTGGGAGAGGAGAAAGACATGGCATTTTTTATCATTCTACAGATTTTCCTAGAGTAACTGATCACAATAACTGCATCGCCTATAAATGTTCTTCGAATCCTATAATTTGATGATAAATATATAGAAATGTACGGAGTTAATTTTAAATAAACTATCTGACTGAGAAGGATTAATTCTGTTTACAAATGAAGGCAAATGAGCACTGATACAATGAAACTATGTATTGATATTTTCTGCAGATTTATCGGCCTGTCACACTTTTAAGTTAGGTGAATTGGTTAAAACAAGAAAAGAAACATCTTTAAAGGTTATCCATAACCCTTACGTTTTCTAGAATAAATTGCTGCGTAATGACGTATTATCGTTACTGGTCTTGCAGCTTGTGCCACTTCCGAACTGCTGTACGCTTTCTTTCAAAACATACCGCTTGATGCAAAACACACCGCTTGATGATGCTAGGTTAACCAAGTGAAAAGTGATTTTTAAACGTATTTATTTATTTGTCTGTAAATAAAAATACTTACGCTTTCAGATTTCAGCGAAACGTCCACCCCGTGCGAAAGGTTTCTCCAAAACTGAAGATCGGTTTTCATGTCACAACTTGATTTCCAGTAGGTGGCCACCTCAGAAGTACTTCCTGTCGCTTGAACAACTTGTGAATTCAGATTTTTACTTAACTGAACAACACAAAAAACTGTTATTAAAACTATGGTTTTATAGTTAGGCTTAAATAACCAATAAATCATGTCGATGGTCTGATCGAAATCTGCTGGATTTGAAACAATATAACAATTAACAAGAAATAAGCTCGGTCTTTTGATTTATCTGTATCACAAATTCATCGTTCGGTACCTTTTTTTCTGACTGCAGACTACAATAAAGTTTGTTATGTGGCATGACATGAAAATATGTGGAACAAGATAACACGGCGGTGAGTTGATTGTTTAGTCAAACCAAGGGACTAGTCCACGTGCGAAAGACACGTATGACTCTTTCCATTCTAAAGATACTGGAACAACACCACAGGCACCTAGCAATGTGCAAATCAATACTCGCGCAGAGATCCACGTGTTGTAACCCCCATGTTATAGAGGGCAGCAGTGTCGTATGTTAGTTTGTGTTTATAATGTTGGAACTAAAATCAGCCACTTTTTTTCCATCTCTTGACTGTAGTTATCAATAAGTGTATATGCTTATAATATTCTATATGGTGTTTAACCGAGACCTAAACTTAATATTTAATCATGAACGTTTATCGTTAAACAAGTATACTCTGTACAATCCCAAATTGTAATTTTATGTCTGATTTTTACTTTGAGATTCTGAAAATCAACTGATAATACCCATATCTGCTATGATACTTTAATATTTATTTATTACTAATAAAGAGTATTATAATATTTTTGCAGTTTACTGTACAAATATACGCCTACCGATTTTGTCTTTAACGAAAAGATGGAAAGGACAAGAGAATAATTTACAATTAAACTGCCCCACAGTGGCACAGCGGTATGTCTGCGGACTTACAACGCTAGAAACCGGGTTTCGATACCCGTGGTGGGCAGAGCACAGATAGCCCATTGTGTTGCTTTGTGCTTAACTTCAAACAAACAATACAATTAAACTCATTCGTGTTTTTATTTAAAATATTAGGGGAGACGTTCGAGGTTTACATGTAGATGCTACAGGTCAGGTCTTTGTTTAAAAGATTAGGAGAGACGTTCGAGGTTTACATGTAAATGCTACATTTCAGGTATTTAAAACGGTGTATCTTATTACCAACGAATATGTCTTAGTTTAGTTGTGAATTGAATGCGACCTGAGCTGTAGCATCTACATGTAAACCTCGAACATCTCCCCTTATCTTTTCATCGTAAAGAGTTTCACTTTCAATAAGTTTTATTGTTCTTACTCATAAAAAAGCATTCTTTTTCTTTGCTTTAGTGACCTTGTCCTAATAAAGTTTTATTAAAGCTGGTTTGCAGAGCCAGCCTTAAGGCCAGGCAAGCAAAGTAGATGCCTAGCGCACCTCGCTATGGGGGAACCTGCATAGATAACTTCGCGAATGATTCTTAAAAATGAAGCCGAAAAAACTCAAAACCAAGAGTTTGCCTTATTGAATAACAGACCACATTATTCCGTTATTACTATAAGTATCGGTCTGCGGTTATTGACAAACACGATAAGGAGCCCTGCACGTCGTTTCCTTTACTAGAGCCCAGCACTGGCAAAGGCTGGCACTGCTGGTTTGTTTACCAGGATGGCTTCGTTATATAATAACCGTTGCCGGTTATAAAACTTGTGAAATTTAATGTTTATATTTTAGGACGTACATAAAGAGATTTTCTCGATGGAAGAATATTTGAAAAGAGTTATCAATTATAAAACAGTGTAGAAGTACATATTCAAATTTTAGAAATGAGGATCTTATACACCTATTAGTGGCTGGAAATACGCAGTGTAGCTTGTGGTATTAAATATAAGCATGCCTATTCATAGACTAAACAATATGCGTAATCTTGTTAAGCTCTAAAACATTAAATCTTTTACGAATAGAAAAAAATGGGATCTTTGCTTTTACTTCTCACAGTATTTATAATTGTTTTCATTATTGTTTTTCATAATGTTTGGCCCCCCCAGTGACACAGCGGTATGTCTGCGGACTTACAACGCTAGAAACCGGGTTTCGATACCCGTGGTGGGCAGAGCACAGATAGCCCTCGTGTAGCTTTGAGCATAATTAAAAACAAACATAATGTTTCTGGTATATTGTTGACCTAATTGTTGACTTTCCCTTATACTTCAAGACTTCACTCCAAAAAGATTTACCTGCCGAGACGAAAACATAGACATATATATATACAACTTGAATGTCTTGCTTCGATTATATGTATTATAGGACAACATTTTGCTAGTCATGTTAATACGCACTACCCTAAATCCCAAAGATTACCACTTTTCAAAACGACTTCCACTGTATTACACGTTAGTAAGCTCGAACATAACGAGAAAAAGTACTTTACGCTGCGCTCAAAAAGCTAGCACTTTTAAAAACTGTTTACGTTGTATTACTACCTTTGAATAGAATTTTCTGTAGTTAATGATTTTATAGCTACAACTATCTAGCTTTTGTAAATATAAACTTTCCTAATAAACTGAAATATTTTATAGAATTGTTTCATATGGGATTGGCGTAACTAAATTACTACAAATACTTTGTTTTCGAAATTCATGGATGTACGTAGTTTTTTTATCTCTCTTATATATTTTATTGTAACTGCGCTTTTAAACTCAAGCACTAACTACACCCGTTAGTATCTGTTAGATAAGTTCACTTATAAAGTTAATAAAAGCTTTCCGACTTTATACTTTTCGTTAAAGATAGATCTAAGCCTATGTTCAGCGATGGTTGCCTTAATGGGAAGATCTCGTTCACTTCGGACTGCAGCAATGATGGGAACGTACTAAAGGCCGGGGGAGCTCTCTATTAAAATAAGGTGCACCGAAGGGAGTTCTAGCAATAATTCACTACCGAATAACAATACCATAATTAAGACAAACAAAGCAGTAAAATCGTGTTGCCTCGGGCAACCAAGGAAAGTTATAATGCTAAATTAGGTGCCATACTGTCAATCTTTAAAATCAAAACAGAAATATATTTTTACCTAAACTACCAATTTAATAAAAACATGATTACTGACAAACAGTGTTTGTAAAAGGCTTCATTGTTTTGATAAAATATGAAGAGTGTATTACATTGTATACAACTGAAGAAAGAATAAAACGCTTGTATTTCTTTTCTTCAAGTATATTTCCAATCACTAAGTAAATTATTAATGATATTTAGATGACCCTGTAAAACAAAAAGTAAAAACAAACTCCGGTTTTAAGATTGATATACGTTATAATATAATAGAGTAAAATTAGTTTCCGAAATATCCTAACACATACTTAATATCAGCTAAGATTTTTTTTTTTTAAAGTATGTTTGTTTGTTTTTTTAATTATGCACAAAGCTACACAAGGGCTATCTGTG